AAAAAAAAAAACAGACAGTTACAAAATATAACGATAGAAACGACTTGTCGAACATTAAAACAGGTTAAAATAAAAGCGTTAATGGTAAGAATAAAAAAAATTTAATACTACTGACATAATACATAAATTTATTACTGTCCAAAAAATATATATCTGTTGAAAGAAGTTAACCAAAAAAAAAAAAACAAGTAAAAGAAAAAATAAATTGAAGAAACAAATTATAAACAACAGAACGACGAAGACCAAGCTTAAAGGTTGAAGATGTAGAAAAAGCAAAAGCAAGAAAAAAAAACGATCATCTATTAGGACATCTTAGCAATAATAATTGGAACGATAAGAAAACAAAAACAAATAAATTAAAAGAATTCTTTAAAAAAAAAAAAAACTTGAAAAGAAAAAATTATGGAAAGAAAATTCTTTAGTGATAATTTCTTTTCTGTTTTTCATACTTTTTGAACAACTGTAATGTGCAATTGATTAGCTAAATTTTATAAAAACAAAATAACAGAACTAAGTAAATTTTTTCGCTTTTTTTTCGTACAATAATGCTGACGTTTTTTTTTCGTACAATAATGCTGACGTTTTTTTGCTGTTGATTTTTTTTGAACTTTTTGCTGTTAACTTTGTTCAGCAATCAATTCTGCAGCACCTTTACTTCAAAAATTGTTTTAGAGAAACAAAAGTAAGGAAAAAAAAACAGATTGCAAATTCCTTCTTTTTTTTTTTATTTTTTTTTTTTTTATTTTTATTTATTTATTTTTTTTTACAAATCTTAATGCTATTCCTTGTGTCGTAGTTGTTGCCGTTTTTTCTGGTCTATGTAAAATAAACGATAGACAGAAGATAAAAAAAAAGTGGAAGAACAATTTGAAAAACTTTTCACAATAGGTTCTTATTTTCGTACTCTCCAAAAAAAAGTCAAAAAAAAAATAGGTTTACTTTTTGTCCCATTCAGTTCTTCTGCTACTTATACAAAGTCTCTTTAATAAAGTCAAAAGCAAAAAAATTTTTATTCTCAGATGACACCACGTTGTATTGCACAGATTGGGGTAACGTCAACTCTGAATCTGCTGTCGTTGTTCAGAACTGTTGCAGTCTCCCTGAACATCAAGGACAAAATGAAGTGGAAACTTGGTTAACTTTTATTGACTGTTGGTCGTCGACGACCACCGTCGATGACGACCGCAAAAAGTACCGACAGTAGCAGCAACAACAGCAGCAACAACGATGGCAATAATTATACTTTCTTTATAAACAGCTAATTATTATGAGTGTATCCAAAAATGAACAATAAAATTTGTCTACGAAATGTGACAATGTACCAGCAAATTGGTGTTGAAACATCAAGAGAAAAAATATAGCCTTGGTTTTACAGATTCTCAATTCAAGTTCAATTACTGTTCAAACAGGTTATTCTTAAAAATGTATCGTAATTGCCACAAAAAGACTGATGACAGTGTTGAAGACAAAGATGGCAACGACGACGACTATGACTCTGAAAACTATGCACGATAACTTTGGTGCAAAAAACCATCAACTGTTTTCGAGCTGGTGGCGACATTCAGATCAAAGGTTGC